TCGGAAACGCTTCCTTCTAGCTGTTACATACTTTTGCACGAATACAATATACCCTTTTACTCTACGAGTAACGGGTATAATAAATATTTTCACGGCCTAGCTACAAATTTAAATCGACAATTCACTTCAGAGATGAAATTTTTGTTTTCCGGCGCAGTTAAGTTCCTTGATTCAGAAAACGACTTTCACAATTTGTTAATACTCAATCAATTTACTGGTGGCTTGTAGAGACTTGTATTTTGTGGTCTTTGTCAAAATTCCACTCTCGGGTAGAAAAAATAAAATTAATTTCGGTTCCTTAAGTGCATTTTTTTAAAAGAAAATTATTTATGCGGCTCATAAAATTGTTATTACTAGTGAAATGAGATGTTGATGACCAGAATTGGTTTACAAGAACAAAAATATAAGGGTCATGAAAAACTTAATTTGGGCCATTATTTTACAAGCCGAAAACCTTTTATTAAAGCAAATTTTGGATTTGTATGAATTTTTTTACTGCTTTTTTTCGGTCATTCAGTAAACAAGTATATCAAAATCTCGCAAAAATATATTTGCTCTACCCTTGCAGAAGGTGCAATAATTTTTTATACAACATAGTAAATAAGACACTTCTTGATGAGCATCACCAGGGGAGAACAAACTAGTCTTCCAGTTTTATAGCTATCTGGATAAATATTTCCAAAAAGTGTTCTTTCCTTTGCAGGCAGTGTATAGGTCGGAATGGCAATTGAAAAAATAAATTTTAAAAATACAACTTTGCTGTTTTTAAACATATACAAATTTACTCCGAGATAGATAATTATACCCTTGCAGAGGGTATTATAATTTTAGTCAAAAGTTTGCAGTGAAAGAGGCATTTCCGACCCTGTAATATTCTTGATCAGCATCACCAGGAGAGTCGATCTAGCTTTCCGAAAAGTTGTCTTTCTTTTGAAGGTAGTATATAAGTCGGATAAAGCCGGATCGGGCGACTATATCATTTAGCTCCTATTGGAACAATCGGAAAATAAGATTAAAAAAAATTCAAGAAATATTACTTTACAATTTAGTGTTGGTTGTATTAATGAAAAACCCCTTTCTGAACTAGAGAGCTGCCACGGGAACGATCGCAAAAATATGTTAAGTTTGGTGTTTCTTAAACAATTTTTGTTTTTCTTGCTGCAGTTGTCTTATGATAAACTTTTTTTTGAATCAACATCTTGAGTTTTATCAAAATTGGATGACAATATGCAATAGCTGCCTTTCTGGCGGTATGGTTCTATGGAGTTTATTGGCGCTGTGTAAAAGCTATTAACATAAAACTGATCATATTTAATAATGATAACGGATATTTATGTACGTTTATGTTTAAATACACTGAATATAACATTTTTCAAATTTCTTTTTTGCGATTGTTCTCACGGTGTTTTAAATAATGTCGTCCGTTTTTTAAAATTAAAAAAATTAATAAAATAAATAAAGTTTCTGAATATATTAAAAATGAAACTTTATATTTTTTCAATTATTTCTACGATTGTTCCTGTGACAGCTTTATGATATAAAGGGGAAAATTCCTCCTGACATCTTTAAAACTGAGAGATTAGTTTGCGTGGAATCAGCTCGTGTGGTCATAGTGATGAAGACAACATATACTTTATAGGGTCGGAAATGTCTCCATCACTGCGTTGGAAACTTTTGATAGACATTTAAAGATGGCTGTTAAAAGTTTTCACCTAGTTGTTCATTAACCTTTTTCCTCAGTGATAATCAGATCTTTGGTCTTGTGGCGACGCTAATGTGCAATTGGAAACCGTCGAGCCGCCACTCAGATCCCCCTACATGTAATGCAGCGGCGCTACGATCATGTTATTATGCGTGTGGCATTGTTTACAAATTACGCCCTGTCGCCGCTCCCGGCCAGACAGGAAAGACTCAAGGATGTCGGCAGGACAGTGAAATATGTGTGAACACTGTTCCTTATTTCCTAGGGGTCCAGATCTTTTGGCTGCTCAAGTGGCCGTTTACGGAGGCGCGGTCAAGGTGGCTAATTGGGATCTCCACTCGAAGTCTGTCTAGACAGCTGTTTTGCGGTGGTCCTGCGCCAAGTGGCTTGCTTTGATTGTCGCCCCGGGACTTTTACGACACATTAGTTGACAATTGTTTGGAAACAAACATCTGAAATGCATCGCCAAGGCGAACAAATTGAAGGAAGCGGACCACACAACTGACGCAAATAAACTCGAACCGTACTCCAAATAAGCAAAACAGGCTGGAAAACAAACAATTACTTGCAGAATGGAAAAATCGATTAAAAGTAAACAAATCGATTAAAGTATTATATATAAGTATATAATAATTTGTGTGTGCTGTATGAATTATAAAGCGACGGAATCCTGATGAATCATCCAAATAAATTAATCTCATTTATATTTAAATGATAAATATAATAAAGTTATTGGGCTTTTTATCATAACCTCTGCGAGGGCACCAATCCTTTTAATAACCCGTTTAAAAACAAATGCCCTTGCAGTTTTTCGTTGTTACTGCAACACATCTTTTTCTGTGTATTCCAAAGCTGGGGGAATGCATTCAATTTACTAGTGAGTCCCAACTCCATTCACTCATATTTATCCCCTCCATCCGTCCGTATCCATCCATCAGGGCCATCAGGTGTGTGGTGGCGTTGGCTTTCTGGATGTGAATGTTCTACGTTCGCCGCCGTTAGAAGCGCAATTTGTTTACGCTACTTTCTGAGCAATAAAAGCACAGACGGCCATGTGGGTGGTCCCACCTTGGGCCTTCAGGCTTTATGCAGTCGCTGGATATGATGTAGATTACTGGTGCCGGAATGGATTGAGATGACAGCTCCCTCGCCGTGTGCTAATCATCAGTCGCTCTTCGGAGTTGTTCGTGTGGAATTAATCAGAGCATTGTGTGCGGATGCAGCAGGATGCGGTGGGTGACTGTAATCCCTGTGAGAACTAAATTGAATCATAATTGAATTGATTTCCAGCGAAAGCGGCCACTTGCGACTGTCGGAATCGAGGGCCCTGGGACAACCATAGCTGTATATCTGAAGTGGCCGCCAAATTATTAAACATAATTGCGCCGTAATGAAGCGATATCTGCGCCTGGGAAAGGGTGCAGCCACTCAAGTCGAGTCAGCTCAAGTGCTCATTGAACTCTAATGGAGATGTGATGGCTTATTCAGTAGTTTGTTGACCTCGAAGATATGACCCCTGGTTCCCCTTTTGCAAATGTGGCGCATCTTATTTACATTTAATTTAGCCAATAAAATTATTAAACAGCTAGTAACAGCTAAACAGCTAGTAAACGATTAGTAAGAGATCACCCTTCAGTGGTGGTCCTTCTTTAACCTGTTACGTGCGTGGGTAATAGCCGTGTAAGAAATATTACGGACCTCGTTGCTGCGAAACACCCAGCAACTGTTGATAAACACATCAAAAATAAAAATGACGGTATAATACTTTAAAAGCAAATCAAAAAATAACTAAAGGTCCATGAAGTTTGCAAATATAAGTCATTAAACTTAAAGCATATAAAAACAATCAACAGGCAAAGTAAAACGGAAGCATTGGTTTAATGTCAAAGTTTTTGCGAAGTTTTACCGAAGTTTCAGTGGTTATAATATTCAATTTTATACATATCTTTATAATTGTACACCTTTTTTTGTTTTTTCGGTTTGTAATACCTTTTTCAAGTAAATTTAAATAATGAAAACAATTAGTGAATTTTGTATAACCAAAAATAATAATATTACACATATTACTTCACGGTAAATACGTATCGTTTCGTTTTATTAACTATCTCTGCTATTTGTAGGTGCAAATTTATTTAAAAAAATAATTTAGAATCATAGTCGCAATAATAAAATTATAAGGTTATAAAATTTAATCGTCAATTTACTCTAGAGATAAAAGCTTCGATACCCAGATAATAAATAACAATAAAAATTGTATTTTATTGTACCTTCTTATCAATTGTTTTGTTGCCTATTTGAGAAGTCTTGATTTGAAAATTAATAAGAAAGGAAGCCAACTTGTCCAACTTTAACAAGAGAGAACGCTATAGTCGGGTGCCCCGACTATCAGATACCCGTTACGCAGGTAAAGAGAGTGCGAGGGAGATGGAGATAGAAACTTAGATCACGCATAACTTTTTAACGAATGGTCCAATTTGAAAAATTTCTTCTACATTTCGATAGGTATTGATAAACACAATAAAACTGCATTTTTACTTTTTTACTCCGAAATATTTAAATTTTTAAAATCGTATTTAAGCGATTGTGGGCGTTAAAGGGGGCGTGGCACAAACTTGCGCTGCGTAGGAACTCCTAGAATCTGCATGCAAAATGCCAATCTTCTAGCTTTTATAGTTTCCGAGATCTCAGCGTTCATACGGACGGACAGACAGACGGACAGACGGACATGGCTATATCGACTCGGCTAGTGACCCTGATCAAGAATATATATACTTTATAGGGTCGGAAACGCTTCCTTCTAGCTGTTACATACTTTTGCACGAATACAATATACCCTTTTACTCTACGAGTAACGGGTATAAAAACAGTGAAACTATGTCGGTTTTCCAATATATTCGATCGGTCCTATGGCAGGTATATGATTTAGTCGTCAATTAACATCGTCGTTATTAACATTAAAATTGCTTAACTTTATTTTAAAAAAAAACCAACTTTTAATTTTTTTCTTTTTGTTTTTCTGTCTGGAAAATTTCATTTAAATTTCTTTAAAATGCTAGATGCTAGTTTGCGTAGAAACGGACGGATAGACGGACGATGCTGATCAAAAATATATAAGCTTTACTGGGTCGAACATGTCTCTTTGAAAGGGTATTTGAATTCAACCTTATGTTAAAATGACCATGTGCAAAGTCCGTCCTTTACTTCCAAAAGGCTTATTTAAAATTCCGTTCAAGCAGGCCTTGAAGGTTTAAATGTCAACTTATTAAATTGCTTTCTACGGGTTTTCAGTCGAGTTGACGCAAGAGAATGACTCGCATGAAAATCGGGGTTAATTTTTTAATATCTTATCTGTGAAAAAAAACCGTAAAATAATTTTTAATTAAAATTTGTATTATCGGAGAGATAAAATTGTGTACAAAATCAAAACATTTTTAAAAAAAATTAATATATTGAAAATTGAAGGAACCCTAGTTATTTCGGACTCATCTTTACCAGAGGTATTATTAATTATTATTATTTTGAGATATCACTTTATCGTTTGGCTTTTGTTATTTTTATTCCCAGATTTCCGAGTTGAAAAAATGGAACAAGGTTGTCGCAAGCGTGGGCATTCGAGTGACGAGGACGTGGAGAACAGCCGCCGGAAAAGAAGTGTCGAGCTTAAGCTGGCGACCGTGGAGAAGTTGATGCGGGGTCTGAGTTTTCAGGGCGGCAGTTCAATTGAGCTGAAGTTGGAGAATCTCTCGTACTTGCTGAGGGATGTCTGTGCGAGTCTCAAAGAGGAAATCCTGTGCATCCTGGTGTCGTGCGTGGAAGAGCAACCCGGCCAGGCCAGTGCCTACGCCACATTTGTCGGCCTGTTGAATGTAAGGAGCTGGGAGTTCGGCGCCGCGTGCTTGGGATTCATGGTGCAGAAACTGTATGAATGCCTGTGCAATCGCGAGTGGTTCAAGTGCCAGGGAATAGTGCATTTTCTTGTAGCTCTGTACAACTGCAACGTAGTCACATCGTCGTCCTTGCTGAAGTTCCTCGCGAGTTTCGTGAGCGAGTGTGAGAACCAAAGCGATCCCGACGATGTGGTGGATTTCGTACTCCAGGCACGTCGCGATTGGTTGGCCTACTGCGTACTATCCGCCCTGCCCTTCGTGGGCAAGGATCTGCAGCAGAAGGCGGGATTTGAGAGCCTAATGCTCACGTTGCAGATCTACGTCAAGAAGCGTTGCGCGTTGCACACCCCCATGCTGAGTGTTTGGCGTGACTCCGAGCAGAGGGACCATCTGGAGTTGCTGTGGCATCAGGTGGACGCATTGCGCCAGGAGCAGTGGGTGGAACCAGAGCACCAGTTGATCACCCGTCCTTACCTGGCCTTCGACGGGACGTTGAGTCACGCCGTGCCTCACTGTCTACAAGACTTTGAGGTGCCGCCCCATGAGCAGGGATGCTGCTATCCTCCGACGCGAGTGCCCTTTCGCATCTTTTCGTACGACTGCGAGAACCTCCAATTGCCCTCTCCTTTGAGCATCGAACGGCATTTGTTGGAGGTGCAGATCCAGGACATGCTCCAATGCCATCATCTGGAGAGGAAGATTTGTGCCGATAGCCTCCTGGCATATGCCGCCTCAAAGCCCCAGTTGTCCGTTTATCACTGCATTGTAGAGGTGATTCTGGCCGAGATGCTGCAGTTGCCCAGTTCCCAGTGGATCACCCTCAACTATGGATCCATTCTGGTGGAGTTGTGCAAGCGCCAACCGAACAAGGTGCCCCAGGTGGTGCATCAGGCGGCGGACATCCTCTTCGCCCGACTGGACTTTATGAGCGTGGCCTGCTTCGATCGGCTGGTCAACTGGCTATCGCATCACATGAGCAACTTCGGGTTTCTCTGGAACTGGAAAAAGTGGGCTCAGAGTGTCTCCTTCCCAATCGATTCCAGTGCCACTAATCATCAGCCGAAGGTTGTCTTTCTCAGAGAATTACTTAAGAAGTGTCTCAGGTGGGTAACATTTACCTTATAAATTGACAATTAATTCACATAAAACTGAAAAACGTGAAGCTTGCTAAGTTCCCTTCCCAATTTGCTTACTTTTTTTTTTGATAAAACAAGAACTTCGGCAAGCTGATGTTTATATACCCTTGCAATTATTACAAAACGAGAACTTCGGCAAGCCGAAGTTTATATAGCCACGCAGTTATTACAAAACGACTACATTTCGATTTCTTTGCCTATATTACTAAAAACAATGAAGCTTTGTTGATTTTGCGCTGCATTTTGCCATCGTTTCTATGGCAGCTTTATAATATTGTTTTCCGATTTTGACAAAACTAAAAGCGCAATTCTGATACAGTAAATAATTACTATATCTCAAAGAAATATTTTGATAAACAGAAAAACAGCAAAATAAATTTTTAAAAAAATATAATTTTTTATTAATTTTTAGATTTTTCTATGGTAGCTATATGAATAAGATGTCCGATTTTAATTTAATTAAAACCGTTATTACATAGTATTTAAATATTACCAAATCCCAAAGAACAAAAAAAAATTAATAACAAAGTTATGCATTTTTAAAATTTTTTTACCGACTGTTCCTATGGGAGCTATATGATATAGTCGCCCGAGCCGGCTCGTTCCGACTTATTTACTTCCTGTAATGGAAAGATAACTTTTGTGAATAGCAGATAGGCTTAAAACCGAGGGACTAATTTGCGTAGAAACGGACGGACGGACAGACGGACATGGCTCGACTCTCCTGGAATATATATACTTTATAGGGTCACAAATTTCTCCTTCACTAACATTGCAAATTTTTGACTGAAATTATAATACCTCTCAAGGGTATAAAAATATCGGTTTGTTATGTATTAATTGTTTAATTGGTGTACCTCTTGTTAATTAATTATTGTTGTGAAAAACAGCCGTTTGATGACCAGCTCAGATATTTTTATTTATCCATGTATATTTCGTTTTTGGATTAGGTTATTCATATGGAAATATAAGAGTAGAAGTTATAGGTTACATTTTGACTCAGGCCAAAAAACCCTGGATAGTTTTCGAGATGTTAATTTTTTTATTTTGCTGTTTTTCTATTTATTAAAATATTCCATTGAGATATACTTACATAGTTATTATTTACTATATCAGAATTACGCTTTTAGTTTTGTCAAAATCGGACAACAATATCATATAGCTGCCATAGAAAAGTTGGCAAAATGCAGCGCCAAGTTGACGCAGCTTCATTGTTCTATAGGCATAGAAATCGATTTGTAATAACTGCAAAGGTATATAAACTTCGGCTCGCCGAAGTTTGCTTTCTTTTTTGTTTCCACTTAACTTTCATAACCCTTGCATTCACTGGGGAGTGAACCCGCCAAGAATAGGACTAGCTAGTTTTGTCTGCACGTCCCCACAGACTCTTCAGCTATGTATCTACGAGGATGAAGGCAGAGCGTCAGAAACTCCTGAATGTTATGATCAGAGAAGCATTTTTGCAATTGTGAGTTGCCAAACTTTATTGGTTTTCACATATGTAAATGGAGTTCTGTCGTTAAAGCTTATATTAGTGTGTGAAAAGTCAGTGATGTGGTTAGCGGTGTACATCGTAACTTTTTTTTAAGGACAAATATTTCCAGGTAACGCTGTCGAGTTTTTATTTTTGTAATTTTTTTTCGGTTTTTAAAGGCACTTTAAAGTTAAATCCTCTATTTTGACCAAAAATGTAACTTTTTTGTTGTTGTAAAAATAATACATTTTCCCAAAAACAAAAAACTCGACAGCGTTTCCTGAGGAAGTACAGTAAAGAAGTACAGTAGATTTTGCAGAACCGTGTACACAGACTTGGAAAATGGCAACTTTTCAGAAGAGCGTTTAAACGTTTTGGACACCCAAACATCGAATACAAAACGCGCAAACTTACATTAGTTAAACTGCTTATAACTTCGGAAGTTTTAATCGGATCAATCTAAAATTTTAACGCAAGATTCTTCAAATGTCGTGCATTCTGACAAAAAATAAAAACATAGACAAAAAATAATTAAATACCAAATACCAATAGATATATCAGTAGGTGACGACGAAACCGGTTTGGTTTGAACACGCCATTGGCGATTTCTTTCTACTATCGGTTCCATAAAGCTTTTGACATATATCAAATTTTTCACAAAAATTTCGAGGTTGGAAAAAAAAACCAAAACCATTCACACTGTAGTGGTTTTCTTTGCGTTATTTCACTACTGCCATCATCGTGTTCTGCATTCTGGCGAAATTCATAATTCATCGTAAATAAATTGTTTTTTTTTTCTGAAGAGTTTACAACGCAATAACAATAACATTTTGCCCTTATTGGTAAATTGTAAATAAATAAACGCAAGTACATTACGTACGTTATAATTGTACTCCCAAATAAAGTATATTATTTTTAATTGATTGCTCTTACAGATTCTCACATAATTAACCTTTTTTTCTAAACAATTTAATTTTACTTACGTCGTCATTACGTAGCAATGAAGTTTATCAGAATGCAGGAACCCGATGTCCTCAAGAATGAACTAAAGCGATGAAAACCACTAAAATGAGTGTACGCCTTTTAAGTTCAAACCGTCGCATTTGTCTTGCTTTCACAACAGGGGCAAAAATCGAAACTCTGGTTTTAATTACAAGTTGCATATTAATTTTAAACTGAAAACTTATTTGTGTGTGGTATAATAATATATTATATTAAAATTGTAGAATCTTCGGTATTAAATAGTGTAATAAATACGTATACTTTAATACTGTCTAAGTAAAATGAATTAATTAAATCTTTGTTTTTTTTTGGGTGCAGAATAAAACTCTTCAGTAAAACAGGGTAAATTACGTTAGTTTGAGGTTTTAATAGATTATGTATTTAAAAGATAAGCTCAAAGCTATTATAAATATAAGCTAATTCCGTTTTGCACCACAAAAATATTTTTCTAAATCCAGATTATCATATCACCAAAGAATCGTAGAGATTCAACCGGACGTCCTGGCCGGCGTTCTTCCGCCGGCTCCACTTCCGCACTTCAAGTTCGTCGACGAGTTGCTCCCGGGTGCGATGTTGTCAAAGAATCTCCTAGAAGCGATGCGCAGCAAGCAATGCTGCTCAGAAATGATAATCAGCCTTATAAGTGGCTCCACGGATATCGGACTGCTGCTCAAGATCAACGTGTTCACCCAGAACTGCCTCCACCTGGGATCCAAATCATTCAGTCACACTTTCGCAATACTAGCCAAATACCACTCGGTCTTTAAGGTGATATATGTTTTATTTTATTTTAAAACACGCATAATAATTAAAAAGTAACCACGAAATACAGTCGAACTTCTATAAATGAAGCTTTTTCTCCTACACAGAACTGAGTTTCTTAGTGAAATTAACATATTCTATTTATTTTTATACCCTTGCAGAGGGTATTATAATTTTGGTCGAAAGTGTGCAACGCAGTGAAGGAGACATATCCGACCCTATAAAGTATATATATTCTTGATCAGGATCGCCTCCTGAGTTGATATAAGCATGTCCGTCTGTCCGTCTGTCTGTCCGTCTGTCGCGTCTGTCTCTTCTACGCAAACTAGTCTCTCAGTTTTAAAGATATCGAATTGAAACCTTGCACACACCCTTCTTTCCTTTGCACGCAGTATATAAGTCGGAACGCCGGGATCGGCCGAAGATATCCTATAGCTGCCTTACAACTGATTGATCGGAAATGCCATAACATTGATGTTTGTAACGTTAGGAAGTTGGGATTTTTTATGGGTTTTATTTTTGGCCAATCAATTCGACCTACCAAATTTCATAAGGTTCGGCCGACCATATCCTACAGCTGCCATATAACTGAACGATTGGAAATTCGATAACTTTGGTGTTTGTTTCGTTTGAATCGTTTTCGAGAATATAATTTACACAATATTCTGCAAGGGTATATCAACATCGGCTCCGCCCGAAGTTAGCTTTTCTTTCTTGTTTTTACTTATTTTTATATTACACCCAAAAAAAATTGTCATAGAAATTAAACTATTGTTACACAAATGATATATTATCATACCCAAAATTAACATTTGCACTCTCTCGGTATACTTAACCCTTTTGTTATACTCTAGTATAAAAAAAATACTATGTAGAATGCATGTAGAAAACATTTCATACTATTTTGTTTTACACGTATACAATTTCCTGAGAGCTGTAGTATAAAATGTACAACATTTAGTTAATGTATAGCATTGAAATGGCTACCAGCAAAGGCATAGCGAACTCAAATATTATTTTTTTGTATTCCTTCCCTGCAGTACCGTTCATCACATTTTAATCGATGAATCATCACCAAAAATTCATTACTGCTGATGATTAATCGATGAATCTTCATCCAAAATTCATTTAAAATTCATCATCCTTTAATCAGTAATTCATCGCATTTTCCTCAGTAATTCATCGCTTTTTCATCGCATTTGCATCGCTTTTTCTTAGCTTTTTCATCGCTTTTACATCGCTTTTTTTTTCATCAGTAAAATTCATTCAGGAAATTTTCATATAAATTTGTTTTTATTTTATTACATTATTTAATTATTATTAACTTAATTCAATCTACACATGTATGTACGTTTTAGTTGTCTCGGAGGTGTTGAGGATGTTTGAGGTTTCGGTGTTTTTATACCCGTTACTCATAGAGTAAAAGGGTATATTGTATTCGTGCATAAGTGTGTAACAGGTAGAAGAAAGCGTTTCCGACCCTATAAAGTATATATATTCTTGTTCAGGATCACTAGCCGAGTCGATCTAGCCATGTCCGTCTGTCCGTCTGTCCGTATGAACGCTGAGATCTCGGAAACTATAAAAGCTAGAAGATTGGCATTTTGCATGTAGATTTTAGGAGTTCCTACGCAGCGCAAGTTTGTTTCAAAATGGTGCCACGCCCACAAGCCACAAGCTGTGGCCACGGTTTTGATGCTATTATGAAAATTTGAATTGATATGTATTTGTTTCGTCAATACCTATCGATTGGCCTAATACAAGTTTGCCACGCCCACTCTAACGCCCAAAAACCAATTAAACGCTTAAGCCTGGCTAGCGCCTACATTTCTAAATGGGGTAGATGGCGCAATACAATAGCGCCTTCTAACAGATGACTTTGGAACAGCTGGCCAAGGTGCTCAACAGAGTCAACGTTAATTCTCGATAGGGATTTCTATTAAAGGAAATTGCGATGGTTTTCATTTGTCAATACCGAACTATATCCAAAGAACTATGGAGGTCTGAGTATGTATGTAAGCATATACATATGTATGCATCTACATTGTACACAGTTGCAATTGCCGGCAATTATAATATTAAGTTGTTTAGCTGAGTAACGGGTATCGACTATAGCGTTCTCTCTTGTTTTTTTTGACTTCGTGCTTTATTTACTGGCTCTTCCTGACCAAGTATATCTAAAATAGAAAAATTATTATAAAATATATAAAAACTTACTGCGTTTCTTGTTTTGCCGCCGGCCAAGTCCAGCTTAGTTTACGCTGGCCCAACAGTTTTATTATAAGCTTCGCCTTAAATAATGAATAAATATATTAACAGTATATGTAGGTACAGTTCAAAATAATTAATAAAATAACACTTACCTAAATTTTTGATAAATTTAGTTATAACATTTCACAAAAAATCTCGATCTGTTCTCTCCGTTCTCTCAAATGCAAGTGCATCTAAAAACCGCTGAAACAACTTCGGTTGAAAACAAGGGCAACGTTAGGAGATGGCGTTAACCCGTTTTTAGACGAGGAGGCCAAATAATTCTCTCAGCTGCTCGAGGTTGAGAGTAACTTAATACCAAAAAATAAAAAAAAAGGGCAACGTTAATCCTATTGTTCTTTCCTTTACCTAATTTGTCTTTACATGTTTCGCTTAGCGTCAAAGCAGGGTATATAAAAGCATGTCCGACTATGCAAAATATTCACATAACTTAAATTCACTTAAAAAGGAATCCATACCTTACAAAACTATCTAAACAATTTTATTTTTAAAAAGTATTTCCATAAAATAATATAATTAATAAGAATCGAGGACTACACTGCTCTGCCGAATTTGCCTTTGGGTCTGCCGGCGTCGCAGTCCGCTACTGATGAAAGGGCGATGAATTTTTGTAGTGTAGAATTTCGGAACTGCAGGGTTTTTATACAATTATTTTTATAATTTTATTGGAATTATTTTATTATGAATTATGGAATTATTTATTATGTACATACATATAGACATAAATTATTTTTTTTTGTGGAGAACTTTTGAAATGAAAATACATATACATTTACACACATATATTGACCATAGAATATAGGAATTCCCTACTAGTACTGAGTTTAGGTTTCATATTAATAAGTAATAAATTAACATTAAGTTTCTGGGGACTCCCTATAGCTTTTTTTAAGCAAAAGTATTCAATTTGAACTGAACTCTTGTGAATGGTCGAAAATAACACCTCAGATAAGAATTCGTCTTCGGTATAAAAATGAACTTGCAAAGCAGAGTTTTTATTTGGAGAAGCCTCTTTTTGACCCGCTTGTTTCTAAGTGTACTTTGTTGCCCCATATTACGTAACAGAAAAAAACTAAACCCTTTCCTTTCCGTTATAGAATATGGCTGCTGGCGAGTCGGAGCAGCAGCATGCGATCTTGAATGGAATCTCCGAGGTTTGGGTCAACAGCGAGCATTTCCGGTTTGTGGTGGCCGAAAAGCTTCTCCGGATGGAGGTGCTTGAGTCCAGATGCATCGTGTCCTGGATTTTTGGCCCCTTGATGCGCAAGGAGCTTAGCAAGATGTATATCTGGGAGCTGCTCCACTCCACTGTGCGCTGGGTGAAGAACGTTCAGAAGCGGAATGCAACTGTGGAAGTAGATGGTCCAAATGGTTCTGATTATGTGGTCAGGAGCATCCTCCTGGACATCTTGCATCGCTTTGTAAAGGCACTTAGGGCTGCTCCGGTGGATCAGGAGAGATCTGAGCAGCACTACTGGTTTCACTGGGTTCTTGGTAGACTGCAGGAGACACTCTTTATATACGCTGATGACTACAAGAAGATGTCCTGCAAGCTAGTAAAAATTGCAGGGGATACTGACCTTAGGGGTGACATCTCAAAAACTATCCAGGGTTTTTTGGCCTACGTCAAAATGTAACCTATAACTTCTACACTTATATTTCCATATGAATATCGTAAACCAAAAACGAAATATATACGTATAAACAAAAATATTTGAGCTGGTCATCAAATGGGTATCTTTCGTAACAAAAATGATCTAACAAGAGGCATACCAATTAAGCAATTTAGAACATAACAATAATAATATTTCTTATATAATATTGAAGTGCAACACATAGATTAAACATTTATTTTGAGCATATTTTCATAACTTTTTATAATTAAAGTTACCTAATCTTAAATTATTGTAATCTGTCAGTGTTAGAAACTAAATTAAAAAAATGTTAAATAATGATACTTACCAAACAAAATATAGGTAGTTGCACCTAAAAAACCTTTAAACACTTAACTTTTCCGAAAATGATCGTACAGTATGATTTTGATTTGAAAAAATGAATGAGAAAATTGATGAGGAATTTTAACTGGTAGTGTCACACCCAAAAAAAAACCGAAAGCGTAATTTTAATAAACGTGTATTAAAAGGAAACTATCGACAGTATTAAAGTATACGTATTAATTCAATACCTAAGAATATATCTATACCGAAGGGTCTACAATTCTAATATGTGGTGTAATTTTTATACCACATACAAATCAATTTTCAGTTTAAAATTGATACTCCTGGCTTCGAGAAAAAACAAGAGAGAACGCTATAGTCGAGTGCCTCGACTATTAGATACCCGTTACTCAGCTAAACAACTTAATATTATAATTGCCGGGCAATTGCAACTGTGTACAATGTAAATACATACATATGTTTATGCTTACATACATACACACATACGCCATTGTTTGACTCAGACCTCCAATTTGGATAACTTGATTTGATAGTTCATAGTTCATGGGATATATGTAGTTCGGTATTGACAAATGAAAACTATCGCAATTTCCTTTAATAGAAATCCTTATCGAGAATTAACGTTGACTCCGTTGAGCACCTAGGCCAGCTGTTCCAAAGTCATCCGTATTGCGCCATCTACCCCATGTAGAAATGTAGGCGCTAGCCAGGCTTAAGCGTTTAATGGGTTTTTGGGCGTTAGAGTGGGCGTGACAAACTTTTATAAGGCCAATCGATAGGTATTGACGAAACAAATACATATCAATTAAAATTTTCATAATAGCATCAAAACTGTGGCAACAGCTTGTGGCTTGTGGGCGTCAGAGGGGGCGTGGCACCATTTTGAAAAAAAAAAACTAGTAATTCAACACCACATATTATAAGGCTCATACTCTGTAGTTTAAAATTTAAACCGAAGTTTGGATTCTTGTCCCTTGTGTGAAACTAGGACAAATGAAACTGTTCGAACTTAAACTTAAACTTAATTGAATTAGTAAGTATACTTTAGTACTTATACTTTCTTACTTTAACACTCGAATAAATAATGTTAACTTTCGTTTTTTTTTATATACATATGTACATATATGCACATGTACAGTTTGTCAAGTACAAGTCAAAAAAAAAATTTCAAGAAATCTTTATGTTGAAGATTTCGCAATAAAAATTAAACTTTTTATATTTTTTCTCTTTAATATTGTATATTGCGTAATTAATAGATATCCGCGTTATTAACAATGCCTGGGAAACGAACTGAGGGAAATTCAATACAGTTGGTTTATTACAAATATTACAATGGTAAATCGTCAAAAGAATTGGCAGAAACCTTTAATATTAAATTAGTGCTTGCGTTTTGCAAACAACTAATTGAATTTTTGTTTTTTTTATATCTTACGTTTTTGTTATGCTGAAATACGGTATTTTTTTTTTAAATAATTATAGCTAATGCCTACTATAACAATATTACAAGAGAAAAAATGTAAAAAATTTTGTTTTTGATAATAAATTTTTGATTTAAACCTATTATTTATTAATTAATTATTTCTTGACATTTTTTATTTTTACTTGACAAACTGTCAAACATATACAAACGACCGACAAATGTAATTTATTTAATAACACAATTATTCTGTGGTTAATTTAATAATAAAAATTCAGTGTCCTTTTACTAAGACACATATAAAAAATATACGAAAACTAAATAACTTATAATATATACTAAATAGTAAGAAATGAATTTAAAATGTTCGTATGTACGCTATTATGGTATTTCCTTTATACTCTTAAGTATATATGTATATAAATAAACTACGAGTCTCAATTTAACACTACCGATTCATTAGTATAACAGCATCACCTTATAACTTCGAAAGTATTAAGTTTCGTTTCTATTTATATATGTATTTGCTGAGGTCCTCGGATCAGCCATCATAATACCAGTGTACACAAAAACACACGCCTTATAAAAATTTAAAGGAAAATTTGTTTTATCCCTACTAATTTACCGATACCCCAAAGGCAGAAATAAGCAAACTGCGGAAAAAAGTTTAATTCTCAAAAAACTTGGTTTTCTTGGAACAAAGTGGTTAAAGTTATTAAAAAAAATATTAATTGTTATGAGCAAAACATTTGTTGAGTGTAAGTAATAATAATTAGGATATTTTTTGTTCATACAACGCCACCTAGATCTGGTTTTGCATAAATATACTTACACGGACGCTTGGTTTAGGAACTGGCTAACAATAATATTCGGTTGAACTCTCACCCGATCACTGTGCGGGGGAAAAAGAAAGGGCACAATGAATGACCGCAGACATTCAATTTGGATTACCACAATATAAAATTTTAAAATTTATAATTAAAAATTCGCGAGTATTTATGGTTTTATCTAGAAAATTGTTTGTTTTAAAAAGCTCAAATCTGAAATGAATTCTTTTATATTCTCTAAAATGTATGTAATTTAATTTATTATTTAACTTTTAATGGTCTTTAAATCGCGCTTTATTTTAGATCCACTCTTGGTATTATATGGAATTTTCTAACTAAATTAAATATTTCAATGAGATACGTAAATTACACATTTTATAAAATCTTAAATATTTAAATTGAATCAATAAATATATTACATAAGTTATAAGTTTTATTTAAATAATTACATTATTTATAAACAAATGTTAAATATTACAATAATATTATTCTATGTATCCTTTATTATATTATTATACCATATTAATTATTATTATTTTGATATTGACATAGTGCCAATTTCTGAAAGAAAATGCTTAACATTTAAAATGTATGTATAGAAATATGCTTATTAAATTTAAGTGAAATAATCCGTGTATTATACATAAAGTACATAGTAAGTAAAAAATATACGTGACATGACATTCGTGGAATATAGCACCCAAAATTCCAATTGGCTAAAGAGCTGAATAGTCTCTATTTGTTCTCTCCTGGAATTTCTCTTTGGAATCTTTAAAACTTCTCTCTCTGTTCTCTCCTGAAATTTCTCTTTTAAATCTTTTAAAAATTATATTTCTGGTGAATCTTTTATAAAGGATTAAAAACATCTACAACCAAATAGACTTTGGGAATAAAAATCATGTAAAACTCAAACAAATGTATATGAAAACAAGAGGGAACGCTATAGTCGGGTGCCCCGACTATCAGATACCCGTTACTCAGGTAATGGGAGTGCGAGGGAGATGGATATAGAAACTTTGATCACGCATAACTTTTTAACGAATGGTCCGATTTGAAAAATTTCTTCTACATTTCGATAGGTATTGATAAACACAATAAAACTGCATTTTTACTTTTCCGAAATATTTAAATTTTTAAAATCGTATATTAGCGATTGTGGGCGTTAAAGGGGGCGTGGCACCTTTATTAAACAAACTTGCGCTGCGTAGGAACTCCTAGAATCTGCATGCAAAATGCCAATCTTCTAGCTTTTATAGTTTCCGAGATCTCAGCGTTCATACGGACAGACAGACAGACGGACAGACGGACATGGCTCGATCGACTCGGCTAGTGACCCTGATCAAGAATATATTTATAGGGTCGGAAACGCTTCCTTCTAGCTGTTACATACTTTTGCACGAATACAATATACCCTTTCCTATACGAGTAACGGGTATAATTAATCATTATACCATTAAGATTATAGAGGCAAATGTGATAATTAAAAAAAAAGTGGCCAAATCGATAGTTTTAACAAAATAGTTAATTAAAACCCAAGTGTGCCAATAATTTTGTTCAGGCAAATTTGGTCCATTCTTTGGTTTTTTATTTTTAATAAATTATTTATAAAAGATAAATTAATGAAGTCACTTGTATTTAACATAAAATTAATGATTCTATCTAAAAATATTTTGTTTTATTTTAATATCAACGTTATAGTCGAGTGCCTCGACTATTAGATACCCGTTACTCAGCTAAACAACTTAATATAAATATGCCTTCTTGTAATAAATTGACTAGAAATTTTAAACATACATACTTATATTGGCTAAACACATACATTCTTAAATAGTATTATGTATATTAAAGTCTAAATGTTTGCACAACACGAGTAACGGGTATAGCGAATAGCTTTTTTGAAAGGAGTTATCTTTGCCGGGCAATTGCAACTGTGTACAATGTAAATACATACATATGTATATGCTTACATAAATACACACATACGCCATTATTTGACTCAGACCGCCAATTTGGCTAACTGGATTTGATTTGCATAGTTCTTGGGATATAGTTCGGTATTGACAAATGAAAACAAATGAAATTAGCGTTGACTCTGTTGAGCACCTTGGTCAGCTGTTCCAAAGTCATCCGTTAGATGGCGCCATAAAAGGCGGAAATGTGGGCGTTAGCCAGGCGAAAGCGTTTAATGGGTTTTTGGGCGTTAGAGTGGGCGTGGCAAACTTTTATTAGGCCAATCGATATTTATTGACGAAACAAATACATATCAATTAAAATTTTCATAATATCATCAAAACTGAGGCCACAGCTTGTGGCTTATGGGCGTCAGATGGGGCGTGGCACCATTTTGAAACAAACTTGCGCTGCGTAGGAACTCCTCAAATCTACATGCAAAATGCCAATCTTCTAGCTTTTATAGTTTCCGGGATCTCAGCGTTCATACGGACAGACAGACGGACAGACAGACGGACAGACAGACGGACAGACAGACGGACAGACAGACGGACAGACAGA